GCGGGAGCACCAAACGTGGATGCGGGTTGCTGGGCAGGCTGAGCAGAGGCGCCAAAGACGCTGCCAGTGGCGCCAAAGCCAGGCTTGGGCTGCTGTGCGCCGAAAGCAGAGGTACCAAAGGTCGAGCCGCCTAGAAAGGACATGGGGTTATGAGATAGTGATGGTTTGCGTTGGGAGAAGGACGAACCAAAAGCGGATGGCTGCTGGCCAAACGCGCTTTGTTGTTGCTGAGGCTGTTGCGGCTGGCCAAATATACTTGTTGTGGCAGGCTGGCCGAACGCTGAATGAAAAGAAAGGAACCGTTGGTATTTGACGAGGCCATAGTCACAAAAGATACATACCCGAAGTGCCGCCAAAGGCCGAAGGCTGCCCGAATGCGCTTGGCTGCTGCTGGGCGGGCTGCTGTTGCTGTTGCTGCTGTTGCTGGTTCCACTGCGACTGGCCGAACATGGCGAGCAAGCGAAAATTCGATTCGAGATGGACGTTTGCGCACAACCAGCGCGGTGGCAACAAGATACAACCTCGTCGCGTGCACCCGGGGTCTTTCTCTGCTCTTTCTCGGACCCCATGAGTATCCCCCAGGCGAGGCTACTCAACACCTCTCCTCAGATCCCGGAATAACATGGCCATGGATTACAATATATTCGAGCCGCCTATAGAAGATCCCTCAAAGGCACATTATATCGACCGTGGCGAGTTGTATCGAAGACTTGAGCTGTGTCCCGGGTCCGAGCGCTAAGCGTCACGTGACTACTGGCCACAATGTGACTTGATGCACGTGCCAGCACCTCGGCCGCGGGCCTTTCGTGCATAACGCTCAGCGCCTTGAATCTTGATGCATGATGTTGAGTATTTCCATGATTCAATGACTCAGGCAGATCTTCAAGCTTGGCCAGACGGTTAATCAGATGCTAAAAAACCCTCCGAGATCGTCTCCCCCCTTTGAAGTATCATATTAGAAACCGAGCTACTCCCCTTAATATTGCGACTGGATACTTGTCTCCCAAACTCCCCGATTTAGCCACCTGTGTATGTACGCCTAGCACAGGGCCATAAGTTTACACATCTCATTTGACATAATCAACTTCGATTCCGACCGAATCATACTGCGCACAAGGCACTTGGCATACGCGTACATGAAAATCTCGGCAGCGATTATACAAATCGGCCTCATCCAGAAAATTCTCACAGCAAAAACGATTAATCATTGATAAAACGTAGAGTGACCGTGAATGAATCTGAGAGAATCAAGTCGGATCGGAGGATTGCGCAGTACACATAGCCGGATCTTATCTGATAAAAAGGTGGAGCCCCGGCTGGAGTGCTTGCTTAGCTCCTTCCCCTTCCAAGCCGCCACCCAGCAACGTGGACCTCTCCCCGAGGAATAAATACTGTTACACCCCCGAGAGCGATATCTGGTGCGACCCTCGAGCTTTGCAGGGACGCGCGTGCTGACATAATCCTCGCTGTGGGCGCAGAGAGTTTTGGTTTTTGTTCAGGGTGTCCTCCTCGTCACTGCTCACGTTTACCTGGCATCTGCCTCTCCCAGTCCCCCGCGACCTTCGAATCTACCCCCGCCTCCCCACCACTCCCACCCCCGCATTTCTCATCGATGGATACCGAGGTCGATTACGAAGGTCTCCCGGGAGGGTACTCGACGGGCGTGAACATGCTGGCGGGCGCATTGGTGCGTTTTCAATTTAGCGAAATTCAATTTCTCGGACGTCTTCGTACTGATGTACCACGATTTCATCCTGAAAGGCTGGGATATCTGAGCACGCCGTCATGTTCCCAGTAGACAGCATCAAGGTAAATCCACCCAATTTCAAATCGCACTCTGCACTCTGTGCTCACGGTAGCTAATCCGCCCAGACGCGAATGCAAGTGTACTCTGCGTCGCCAGCAGCCGTGTACACGGGTATCGGCAACGCTTTCACGCGGATATCTTCAACAGAGGGAATGCGCGCGCTATGGCGGGGGGTCGCCTCTGTGATTGCCGGTGCTGGCCCAGCACACGCAGTGTACTTTGGCACGTACGAGATTGTGAAAGATATGACGGGGGGAAATCGCGAGGGCCACCAGTTTCTCTCAACGTGTGGGTCCATCCTTTCATTTCAGCCGCCTTATTTTGTTCTCATTGTGATCCCACGCTAGCCGTCGCCGGTGCATCCGCTACGATAACGAGCGAGCTCTTCATGACACCGTTTGATGGTAATTATATACTTGCTACCTCAATTTTGTCTACCGCTTACCCAGTTACGATTGCACAGTGATCAAACAACGAATGCAGATGCACAATTCCCAACACCGCATGGTATGGAGCTGCGCCCGAGCAGTATACCGGACAGAGGGCGTCGGCGCGTTCTTCATCTCATACCCGACAACCCTCATCATGTCTGTCCCGTTCACCGCCGCCCAATTCACCACGTACGAATACCTCAAGAAGAAGCTGAACCCGTCCGAGGTCTACTCGCCCGTGACGCATGTCATCGCGGGCGGGCTCGCGGGCGGATTCGCAGCAGCACTCACCACGCCCCTCGATGTTGCCAAGACACTGCTGCAGACGCGGGGAAATTCACAGGAGGCCGAGATTCGGAATGCCAAGGGGATGCTCGATGCGTTCCGGATTATCTGGCGGCGCGACGGGCTTCGCGGCTTCTCGCGAGGCTTGACACCCCGCGTGCTCACCTTCATGCCAAGCAACGCCTTGTGTTGGCTATCGTACGAATTCTTCAGTAAGTCTGCCCTTGCCGTTTCCTTACAAGGTACCTTTCTCACTCGTATGTTTTTCATAAACTACCAGAGGTCGCCATCGGTGCACATACTTCTTCCCCATTGGCATAAGACGGACACGTGGGTTACTTGCCGAAAACTTTCCTCGTCGGATCCCTTTCCTATCTTCCTATCTTCTCAGCCCCCTTTCCCTCTCTCCACCCCGTCCTTCCCTTGGAAAAACATTGCACGCAAACCGGGAGCGTATCAAAATATTCATGATTTTACATTACATAGTACTTCGAAAGTTTGCTTTTGCTATAGAATCCATATTCTGCTTTCGCCATTCTACTCATATTTCTCTCTTTGATCGGTAACAATTGCTGGGTATAGAGAAGGCAAACGCTGGGTGCCGATCATATATAGACGGCCCGAGCGCTGCCTTGTTTTGGGCGATCATTCTCTAGACCGATCGCGTGGAATCCGCAGAGGTTCTTGCTGTCGCCGAGCACTGAACATTGGCTGGTATAGATCAACTGAGAAGTATAGCCCGCGTCGCGATCAACCCCAGCTACTGCTGGCGGAAGAGTTTGCTTCAAGTACATCCAACCGCAACAAAAGAAAGCTACAGCATCGGCGTGAAGCAAGCTAAATATTCATCCGTGCCACCTCTTCCCTCACGCCCGACCGATTACCCAGTAAGCTCCAAAGCTGCCCGACCGGATCGTCCAAGGCACCCTCTCCAGGATCGTCCGGCGTATCTTCCTCTCCTTGTGTGAGATGCAGCTTCATCGCGACCGCTGACGGGTTAGGCACGTCGGATGGTGCGAGCGTTAGTAGAGTATTAAACGATTGGAGGGAGAGTGGGCGGAGTGCGACTGGGCCCGAAGGGCTAATGGATGTGAAGGGGTGTGCGGCAGATGTTAGCGAGAGGGCGTGCATCGATAGTTGCTTGAGGTAGGCCTGAGTGGAAGGAGGCGTCTTTGTGAGCCTAAGTGGGCTCGTAGATAGAGCGCGGTGTGCGTACCTCTATTGCGGCCGCAAGCAAAGATATTACAGGCTTGGATGTCGTCAGTTGGTGTTGAGAGGCAATCAGAGTTATTCGCTCGGTGAGGTTCTGGTAGCTTGGTAAGGCGCGCGTTATCGTACTTAATGGCAGAGATACGCGGGTTCCGGCCGGGTCTAGGCGAAGAAAATGGACAAGTTAAGAAGATACGCTTCGCTAAATGGATAAAATGGCCTCATACTTTTGCCTTCCGGGCGCAGCCTCACGGGTCGGTCAGCCCCAATCTCGTCATCCCTCCATAATGGCTGGGGAGGAGCATGCGCCGAGGCGCGCACGCGTTCCCTCTCCTGTTTCCCCATACCCACAACCCAGTTTTTGAGTCGCGGTGGAGGATCCTGGTGGGGTAGCAAACGCCGGCGCTTGCGCGGAGGTTGTGGCGCAGCGGATGATATGTTATTTGAGAGGGTCGGCACTGACGCTTCGGCGAGCATTGCCAGCAGCATGCCATTGTGCAGTGATACTGAAAAGCAGCATACGATTAATGGGGTAGAAATGGGAAATCAGGTGTCAACGCTTACCTAGCTCGGGCGTGTTTATCCATTCCCTGATAGCGCGCTCGAATTCGCTGCGCCCTATCTTTCCCGCGACAAAGCTAGAGAGCGTATTCCAGTAGAGTCGTCCATTTGACCCCAGGATTATCGCCAGCTGGTTCTTTGTCGTCTCCGGAGAATTCATCTTCGACTGACTGGATGTTATAGCGTGCTCCTTAGCTCGATCTGGTGTGAGTGCTCAGCGCTAGCAAGCGCCTTGGTGGTGGTGGTGGAGGTGGTGGTTGTGGGGAATAGGTACAATGGAAGTGTACAGCCACGATCGGCCAACAGGCAGTAAGTACGTAATCGCAGCCTTTGAAAGCTCTCTCAACACCACCACCTTCGAAGTTCGCGCCCAAGCAATATCCCGCTACTGGAGCTCGACCAAACCCGGCGCTAGACAGTTGTTATTCCACGTCCTTCGGGTTTGGAGAAATAACATACCACTGCTTCCATAACAAACACGCCTTCACATATGCCAGCAAAACCGTCGCACGGCCTGGTGGTCATGCCGAGCTGCTGCATCGGGGCGTCCACGGACATCAGCTCTTCCAATCACAGTCCAAGCACATACCCACGAATTTTCGACCCGCACAAAATGCGATGATAGTTTTGTGCGATAGTTATTTCCTTCAGAGCTCGCTGGATCGGTACGCGATACCTTGCATCCCGTTTGTGAGGCGGAGTGTCATGGTTGTATAGTGTAGCTGGTTATCACACCAGATTCTGACGATGGCGACTTCTGGTGACCCCGGTTCGAATCCGGGTACGACCTTAATCTTTTGCTTGCAACCACACAGTTGGCTTTTTCTCCAGCGTGCCCGCCAGCAAATAACGAGCCAGGGGATGGCTAAGTCTAGCCCAGAGTGTTCCGATGAAGCGTTTCTATGTCGGTTGTATAGTGTAGTCGGTTATCACACCAGATTTTGATTCCTCCAGAGTTCTGGTGACCCCGGTTCGAATCCGGGTACGACCTATATTTTGCTCACGCCTGATCACCTATGGTTTCAGGTATCCTGCATTGCTACTTAACCGATAAACAACTGTCCTTTTGCCGCTTTTAGCTCTAGATCTTTTACTCTGTCTAGCATACTGTTAGCCAGAGCTCACATACAGTTACCGAGATCCTGTTCTGTGCTCATGTTATAATTTTGGTCCTGCAACGTTCTTCTCTCGCCTCGTTGTGCCAGGGAAATGTTTGCTGCAGCACTCTCAGGCGACAATGGACGCTGTGGAAAAAACCCAATGCGAGTGGGAATTCAGCAAACGCCATCGCCTTACTCGGTGCTCACTATCTGTCCGTGTATTTTTTCCTTCCCTCGCAGCGGATTACTTACTTAACTGGTACGATCCCCATCCTATCCTATTAGTATTAGTATCAGTCTGAGTCGCCTTTGAATGGAGTCTGCGCGCCGGGGCGGAGATTGGTCGGATGCTTTCAGACACCTGCGATAACTGAGACAACTTACTGATTAGCATCCGGTACTCAGCACCTGTGGCTTAGTCGTTCTGTAAATTCTCAGCTTTCTACGACCAAGTATGTGCACATAGCTTGTTCTTAGTCTGATGTAGGTACTGACAATTTTATATCTAGAACATGGAACATGAGAACAGTGCCATTCTTCCCCAGCTGTTTCAAGACCTGGTCGCTGATATTCAGTCTCGGCTTGATTACGAGCCTGTGGATCGTGCACACCTGGATACAACACCGGGTCACAAAGGCCAGATACAATGCACTCGAGATGCGCTGGAGAAAGAGAGGGCCATAAGCCACCTTGCCCTCGACGCCTTTACCTTGTATGCGAAAGGACAACTAAGCCGCCTCGGTACACGGCAAAACCGCCACACGATTACTTACTGTATCCCGAATGAGATCCTCTCCTATATCCTTGAGCTCGCGGGGAAAGATTGTCGTGCGAGATGGGGAGCACGCGTCATCCTGAATCTCTCGCACGTATCTCGTCGGTGGAGAGAAGTGGCTCTTGAGACACCTCGACTCTGGACGTGTCCATTGATGTTTTCTACCAAGTTTGTCGACATCTGTATCGCTCGGTCAAGAAATTTGCCGCTGGACATCTGTCCTGGTGCAAGACGGTACGCCGACCGGCTCCATGAAGTCCTACCTCACCGACAGCGTTGGAGGAGCCTCCGCCTCTCTTATTCGCCTAAAGATTCCAAGTTAGTTCAGCCGTCTCTCTCGGCTCCTGCACAAATGCTAGAGACTCTCCACCTTCGTTGCCGCAACACTCAGTGGGATAAGGACTGCGCCTCCGACTCGAAGGTCCTCCACCGTAATCCATTTCGTGGGAATACGCCTCACGTTCGCGAAGTGCTCCTTAGTGGGGTATTCTTCCCATTTACCTCCCCCATATTCTCCGGCCTTCTCAAACTTTCCCTTAACAGTATGCAATTTGACAAAGTTGATACAATTTATCAGCTACTTCGGGCCCTAGAGGCATGTCCCTGCATGGAAAGCCTCACCTTCAGCAATAGTTTGAAGTTTGGTCCCGACGTGACGGCAAATTTGCAGCTCCTCTCCACCGCGCCCTTTGTTTCGCTACCTCACCTTCAGTTGCTACGGGTGAAACAGCAGGAGGCAGAGCCAGCACTGGTTTTTATCCTTTCTCGCCTCACCACGCCATCCAACTCTACCTTGTCGATCAACGTCTTGTATGGCGTAGACGGTCTTGCCAGCATCGTTCCGGTGCATGTACGTCGCAGCCCTCATTACAACCTGCAAAATCTATCGTCCGCTCGCCAGCTCAAAATCAGTATGACAACACATTATGATGATGACGTCCGTTTCGTTCTGTACGGTTCAGGTGACCAGAACCTAGACTCAGACTCGGCGTCGCAGTCTGAGTTCAGTATCAACTTTCGGAAGGGTATCCCGCTTCGCGATGCATCCACGCAGCTGTTCGAAACCCTGGGTACAGTTTTCCCCATGCCCCACCTCCAAAGCCTCTGCATAGATATACACCTCAACGGATTAGACCACACCCCAACGACGAGCACACCCAGCAAGACTGCGTTCGTCGAGTTCCTGGGCCGCCACCCCTCCATCACCACGATCGCGCTTTCGGGGTGTGCGCCGGGCTTCGTCAAGAGCCTCATCATCACTCCCACGAGGCGCGTGTGCCCTGCGCTCGAGGAACCGAGCATACGCAAGTGTTCTGTCCGGAATGGCACGATGCGCAAGCTTGTCGCGTCCAGACCAATGCCCGGCCTACTACTAAACCAGCCTGATGACCTCTGGGGCTTGCAGCGTCTCCGTATTGTCGCGTGCAACAATGTCATCCCGGAGACACTTTCTGACCTGGGCTTACTCTTGGAGGTCGCTACGGATGATGATATGGGAGAGTCGAGCGAGTCCGGGGATGCGGAGGAATTTTTTGAAGACGACAATGACTGGGAATGGGATGATTTACCAGACAGCATGCCGTGAGTTCTGCTCCCGAAGGAATGTGGGTAGACAGCTGATCTACTTAACTGTCTTTGTAATCTCGTGGCATGCCATAGGTGTTGTTACTGAAGATACATTATTTAAATAATAGACAGCAGCCCCCTCGCATCCCCAATCATATTGGCTGCTTATCAGACAAGCTCAGTGAATTCCCCAGACAGAAATTGCCCAATCTCGATTCTTCTGGCGCGCATGGGATTTTGGGATGCCACTGCCAACAAACTCGACTTGGCGAAAAATTCGATTTTGCGATCTTTCTTTTTTGTAGCCAAACGGGCTCTTACATCCTTTATTCTACTCCGACTACATATTTTTTCCCCCGAATGCCTAGCTTTTAGTCAAATGATAGTTGCGTCCCGATTCCGCGAATACCACCCTGTTTCGTATCTCCATCGTCCCCGTTTTGTCCACCATTTTTACCTTTGTCAGTACGTCCTGCACGCGAAGCTTCAGAAGACCGAATCCGGCAGCTGTCTGGAAGTCGGTGTGATATTCCCCATGGTCTACCTTCAGACTCGGGGGCTCCTACAAACCAATGACATGGAAGTATCGGATGCAGCGCTGACTTTCATCTGCATCAGTGACTAACTTCCGAGTCCTGAGTCCTGACTACATCGGTCCAGTGCCCATGGCCCGTAGTTCTGTACGTCCCCAGCTCTCCACAACCAAGCAAGTGCGCATACCTTGTTCTTGGTTTGATACACGTGTTGATATTTTATGCACATAGCATGGAGCACGAGAACAGCGCCATCCTTCCCCAGCTGTTTCAAGACCTGGTCGCTGATATCCAGTCTCGGCTTGCCTGCGAGCCTGGCGAGCACGCACATCTGGACGCAGCATCAGATCATAAAAATCAGGTAGAATGCGCTGGAGATGCGCTGGAGAAAAAAAGGGCCATGGCCCACCTCGCCCTCGATGCCTTTACCTTGTATGCGAAAAGACGAATAAGCCGCCTCGGTACACGGCAAAACCAGCTCAAAGTCACTTACCGTATCCCGAATGAAATCCTCTCCTACATTCTCGAGCTCTCAGGGAAAGGCGAGACGACGGGAGTAGACGTCCTAAACCTCTCGCACGTGTCCCGTCGGTGGAGGCAGGTGGCTCTTGAGACGCCTCGACTTTGGACGAGTCCGCTCATGTTTCCTAGCGAGTTTGTCGACATCTGCGCCGCTCGGTCGAAAAATTTGCCACTGAACATCAGCTCTGGCAGAAGCTGCGCTGGCCGGGTTCGCGAAGTCCTACCTTACCAGCCGCGTTGGAGGAGGCTTTGCCTCTCTTACTCGCCCAAAGACTCAAAATTAGTCAAGTCGTTCCTCTCGGTTCCTGCACCAATGTTAGAGACTCTCCAGCTTCGTTTCAGCGACCCTGGGAATATGGACTGCGCTTCCGACTCGAAGATCCTCCATCGCAATCCGTTTGGTGGAGATACGCCTCGTCTTCGCGAAGTGTTCTTCAGTGGGGTGTTCCTTCCATTCGCCTCCCCCATCTTTTCCGGCCTTCGTAAACTCTCCCTTGACGATATGCAATTCGACAAAGTCAACACGATTTATCAGCTACTCCGGGCCCTAGGGGCATGCCCCTGTATGGAAAGTCTCACTTTCGGTGAGTACCTGCAGTTTGGCCCCGACGTCGCGACACATCTGCAGCTTCCCTCCACCATGCCATTCGTTTCACTACCTCGCCTTCGGTCTCTAACGGTGGGACAGCTAAACGCAGAGCCGACACTGGTTTTCATCCTTTCTCGCCTAACCACGCCACCCAACTCTACCCTATCGATCACCGTCTCATCCGCTCCAGACGATCTTGGCTTAGCCAGCATCGTTCCGCTGTATTCCGGCCCTCAGTACAACCTACAAAATCTACCATTCGTTAGCCAGCTCAAAGTTAATATGAGAGCATATGGCGGTAGGGCCAGTTGCGTTTTGCATGGTACTGGCGACTCGGACTTGGCGTCGCGGTCTGGATTCACATTTATCTTTTGGATGCGTAGCAGCCGAATTCGCGATGCCTTCACGGAGCTGTTTAAAGCCCTGGGTGTAATTTTCCCCATGTCCCACCTTCAGAGACTCTGCATCGACTTGCCATTCGATGGGGTGGAGCACACCGCGAGGACCAACAGCACCGCATTTATTGAATTCCTGGGCCGCCACCCCTCCATCACCACGATCGCACTTTCAAAATGCGCGCCGAGCTTCATTGAGGGCCTCATTGTCACTTCTACAAGGCGCGCGTGCCCCGCGCTCGAGGAGCTGAGCATATATGAAAGCTCTGTTGGTGACGACACGCTGCGCAAGCTTGTCGCGTCCAGATCAACGACTGGCCCGGACCAGGATGGCTCCCTCGCCCCCCTCGCCCCTCAGACCATCGGAGGCTTGCGGCGTCTCCGCATCGTCGCATGCAAGAACGTCACAGCGGAGGCACTTTCTGACCTCCGTGTGTCCTTGGAAGTCGCCACAAATGATGATATGAAAGCTTGGGAGCATACGAAGGGATCTAAAGACGACTGGGATGAT